GCACTGAACATTATTCTGTAAATTTCTTCTGCGCCCCGCCCACAGAAATTTACTCGGAAAAGTACGAGATGTAACTGTTGAGACGTGTAAATATTAGGTTGAAAACTAAGTTTTGCAACTGGCCTCATAACTTCCCTCTCACTCAACATGACGCACTCAAATTTTGCCACTGTGTTGGTTATTACGTAAGCTACATGTGCAGCTGCTGTTCTACCAAATTCTGACGTCACACTGAGGGTTACGGTAGGTGTACGGTATAAAGGGAAAAATTATAAAATTCAACAGATTTGGCTGGAACTTGGCATAGGGGGGTTATTCGACATGCTGATCACGAAAACGGTAGTGAAGTTGCGTGCTAAGGCTGTGGCTTTTTTGCAAGATTACTCTAGGTGTACGATATGGGGTCTCACCCTAAACAAGGAAAAAGGCGTTGATTCAACAAATGAGTGTGATATTCGCGTTTGGCAGGTCAAATAACCTTACTATGTAAAGCTTTAGTCATTGACGGTTGTCCCCAGCAGCTCTTGCGTACATCGACTCGTTCGACTTTATAAGGACGCCAGATCTCGACATGTCCCTAAATTTTGTTTCTTTCTCAATAGACCAAAGGAGTCAACCTCCAGCAATAATTTATAGACGAATCCGGATTACTGCGCATGGTCTAGGCTGCCAAAGGCTTCATTTTAGCCTGAAACCCCAAAAATTCGCAAATTTCACTAGTTTTCGAAAAACGCCTGAAACTTTTCTATTTCGTGTTCAAAATTTAGACAATTTGTGCTGACTTGTAGCTCACATTGCCTTCTACATATTGCCAAAGTTTGAGTGCGCCATATCCAAAGAGAGCGGAGTTATGAAACCAGTTGCAAAACTTAGTTTCCAGCCTAATACATGTAGCTCGTCAAAAATGCCAAGGGTTCCTTTCGCAAAACTGTGAATCTTAGGCGACAACTAACAAGCTAGAATTTACCTGGCCTTTCGCTCCTTTCTAATGCTGTTCTACTCATACTAAACCCGTACCCAATTATTACCTCACCAAAATCAAGATTCACATGCGCCATGGGCCTGAATATGCCAACTCATAGCGGACACCCGCAACTGTTAATACCTATCCGGCAGCTACATGTTACCGGGTAAATACGTGTTAATCTTTTTCGCTAACAAGGAGGAATACTTTGTACTTATACCAGTGGCTAGGATGGCTGGTTACCCTATTAGTGACTTATGGATCACCAATTCCAAGAAGTTCGCAAGCATGCACAGGTTGGATTTCGGCAAGGAGCTCATAATCACTGACAAAAGGTATGCTGAAGTGATGCATCGACTTTCTCAAGCATCTGATTCTAATTCGAATCCATGACTTCTAAGCAATTAGCAGTTCAGCTGCTTGCAGTAGAGGTTAAATTTTCAAGTTATCTCTATATACAGGGTGTCCCAAAAGTATGTATGCACTGTTTGATCGTAAATATCTCTCTTCTCAAGAAGTCTTTTGCCTTGCTTCAGGTACCGTTTTGTAGAGCTAGCTTCAACTTAGATTTGCAGTATAGAACGAATCACCATCTCTCTTCATTACTGTAGGATTACGGTAGAAACTTGAAACATATGGTTTCAATGCGGAAAAAGCTGCCGTTTCAAAAATTTTCAAAAAAATGTGAAAACTTGTATAATAAGGTTTTTATGGACGCTGAGTTCAATACTCAACTATTCACAAGATTGCGAAGCTTTCTAAACGGTGTAACCGCACTTTTTAGGAACACTGAAAAAATGGCCGCTACCTCTTAACCGGCATAACTCTCCAATGAAGCATCATAAAAAGTTGAGAACTTTACAGTTAGAATCAACAACTCTAATTAGCCTAGTGTAAAAGTTTTCAGGCTGTTTTGTTTTTCTGAGGCAAAATATGGCCTTTCATGGCTCAAAACCCCCTTTGAAGTTTTTACCGTAATCCTACAGTAGTCAAGAGAGATGGATGATTCGTTCTCTACTGCTAATCTAAGTTGAAGCCAGCTCTACAAAACGGTACCTGAAGCAAGGCAAAAGACTTTTTGGGAAGAGGAGATATTAACGATCAAACAGTGCATACATACTTTTGGGACACCCTGTATATAAAACTCAAAGTGTGTTTGTCTGTTAATAAGTATGTTTTTTATACAAATCTTTCTGAGTGGACTAAATGAGCTGAAACTTTGCACACTTATGTTTTGGACAATGGCGCAGAACATAGGCTACTTTTCGCAGCGATTTACTAAATCCTTCCACTGATTTGTTGATTTGTTTACTTACATCTGGGAAAGTGAGGCTTGACATGCTCAAACCAATCATTTTGCCGTGATCATGTAATCAGGGGATGTTAAAGCTCATTTTAATCTCAATGTCGGAAAAAAGCGGGCAATTCGTTTCAAAGCCCTTTTTGCGCAGAAGAAGCTCAAAAGCGTAAGTATAAGTAACTTCTTCTTAGCTAAACTGGAATCCCGAGTGAAACCGGGACCGCCGGCTAGTAGCATTATATTTCGTACTCTCTGGTAAAGCTTATCCTTAAAATCAGTGAAGTCCGCAACCAGCCTCCATACGAATGTGAACCGATCATACCTCTCTATCTGCCAATTTCGCTTTTGCCGTGAGGAATCTACTTCAGTGTCAAGACATTGCTGTAACTTATTTTTGGAAACGATTTGGTCTAGATTCATAGACGTCTTGCTAGTCCACCCAGTCATAGTAGTAGTAACTTCTCATTTAACCGTGCTCGTTTTTCCAAACCACTTATCAAAATGACTTTGAGTAGTGGCACAACTATCCGCTCTTTCGCAGATCCTCCCACATTTAAACTACCTCAAAATCCTTAAACAGGGGATTTTCTATTCTGATTTCGCGTTTCTTCTTTTGCATAGATTCATCATATCATGAATTCAATCCTCACTCAGGTCAATTTCGTATCCTTTCAAGTGTTCAGATCTTGAGCACTTCTGAACACCTCAATTCCTCTGCTATCGATACCTCTTACGATAACTCACCATTTAGGTTGACTAATTTGTCCGAAATGACTCAAGGCCATCAGTTTCAGGAAATCTGGACTTCAGTCAACAGGAACAACTACTACAATTGAACAGATGATTCGCGAACACCCAGTCACAATCAGCTTTTCAGGAACCCGCAACTTCCTTATCTCTCGGCTCTTTTCCACGGTTGCTCCATATTTGACTTATGGATTACCATTTGCTTGCCTTTTGTTTCTTTTCGTATTTTGAAGTTTTTCTATATGTTGTACTGCAATGTTATGTACCCTGGTTGGCTGCCCACTTCAACCTCTTACTTACACCACGCAGCTTTTGCTCGAAACTTCCCTACCTACACCTGTAACCTCCAACGCGGATTTCCCCTCTCGCACACTCGATTTAGTAGAGGTAGCTCAGGTAGCCACAAGTGTATGGCCTCTTAGAGCTCTTTCTCCCCTACAAAAGTTTTCGCGCTTGGAATTGCAATGCTTCTTTTTAGTTCAGATACCCATCAAGGTTAATCATAACAGTTTTGGCATCACCTGATATCGGACTGCGATAACGGTCACATCCAAAGCCACAGCTTAATGCTTGGAGTTTTCAATTACGAAACGCAGTGACGTTTCCTCGGCCATGGGCATGGCATAGAATACCCATAAAATATCAGGTGTTGCTGACTTACGTTTCCAAATAGGCTTTTGCATTCACTCACTCAGTTTACTTCACCGAGACGCCATGCATCCCTTAGGCCCCGGGCAGACTTCACGCGATTTGATCGTCGTGACTGAATCGCGACGAGACAACTGTCACAACATCATTCCATGCAGATCAACTTGCATTCGGTTGTGATACTTTTCCAGTCCGAAATTTTTGAATGTGAAATGAAAATGAATGGAAATCTTGGCGATTAGATCGCGACGATCAAATCGCGTGAAGTCTGACCGGGGCCTTACGAAGCTGACTCCTATGACATAATCATGGGTAACGATCTTCTGCCTCACCTACCGCAATGGAGCATTGATTATAACAACGTTTTTGATCGGCAAGCGCGGATCAAAAAGTGGACATTCTGTATTTCCTCAGTCTCTCCCCAACTATCACCAACGTGCCCCGTACTGGTCCGTGTGATAGAGACTACAGTCCTCCCTCCTTAAACCGAAACTTTCGTTCCATGTAAAACCTGTCTCACTTTTCTCAACTGATACTCGCAGTCCAATCAGATTCACGAAATCGCTAATGGTGAGCCCCGCTATGATCAAATCTGGCAAGTCCTACATCTTGGTTCCAAACCCTCACTGTTTTCTCACGTAGTATATAAGGGACAGCACATTTCTTCGTCCCCCCCCCCAGCAGGATAACGAAACCCTTTACCATCAAACCAGCTGCATTCCTGGCAGGCCATTTTCCCCTGGCAGGCGTACTTGTTCTTGTTTAGGAAGCCCCGCATCTCCAAAATCGTTCACGTTAGATCTGTCTCACAGAAGTTACGAAGGCCCACAAAGAGCAACTATAGGCCTGTTCGAAGAGTTCAGCGATAGGATATACCGCAACATTTACGACTTGGGTTCTTGCGAGGACTCTCCCGTTGTTATCAAAACTACATTTCATTTCCCTTCGACCCGGTTCAGACCGCCTCGCATCCCTGTCAAGTTCCCAAAGCTCAAGAAGAGCATATCAACAAACTCCTTTGGACAGGCAGTATTATCGATACCCCGTTGGTGCATGCACGGTCCTCGTAAAGAAAAAAAGACAGGACTCTTTGAGTATGCCTCGATTTTGACCGTTGAGCACGCAACCATCCCGGACTACTTCTTAGCACGCATAGAAGACATTTTGAGTAAGGTTTCCGGCCACAAGATGATAACACCCTGGACTTAGCCTCTGGATACATGCATTTGTTGCTGTTCCAGAGAGCCAGGAAAAACGTGATTGGGCTACACACGAAGGCATCTACCAATTTGTCTATCTGCCTTTTGCCTTTAAAATGTGGGAGCATATTTTTCACGCGCCATGTTCCGCATATTTGCAGGTTTGGAAGATAAAAGCCTTGCTTACCTCGACGATATCGTGGTCTTCAACAAGGATTCCCCTAGCCATCTAGCATCAATGCGCAAGGTGCTTCTTCAGTTCAATATAAAGGCGAGGGTAAGAAACTTACAGAGATTGCCCGCACTGAAATCACATTTGGGCATGAAATATCTGGTCGAACCTGTAAATTTATCGCAGATTTTGCGTTATTGGTATGCCTCCGTATTACTGAATGATAAAGGAAAATTTGTCTGGGGCCTGAGCAGGAGAGGGCTTTCCAGCGGTTAAAAACGTCCTTACTTGCAGAACCATGTCTCACTTTCCCGGAGGACAAAGAGTTCTTCTGCCACCGACGCAAGCCAGGTTGCTGTAAGAGCCGCATTATTCCAAAAATCGGACGATGACCACGAAATCGGACGATCGGTTACTCTAGCAAAGCGCTATCTGAAACGCAACAAAGATGGAGTCCGACGCACATCAATCTTTTCGCCATAATTTTGGCCTTACGCTTCATCCGAACAGCAATCTACGGGGTGGCGGACTTTATGAACGATAGCGCGCGCTTAGGCAGGCATGTGTCAATAAGGTGCGCACCGTTAGCTCCGCCTATCGCTAGATGGACGAGTTTCCTGCACTCAACTTAAGCCCTGGTTCATAGCCATGTTCACTATTCTACTAAAATCAGTTCTTGATATTAAGCCATAAGCTTGCTTCAGGCCGGGGAGAAGCTTATTATACAGGGTGTCCAAAAAAATGTATCGAACGTTTAATCGTTAATATCTCTCTTCCGAAGAAGTCTTTTGCCTTGCTTCAGGTACTGTTTTGTAGAGCTGGCTTCAACTTAGATTTGCATTATAGAACGAATCACCCATCTCTCTTCATTACTGTAGGATTACGGTAGAAACTTGAAACATATGGTATGAATGTGGAAAAAGCTGCCTTACAAAATTTTTCAAAGAAAAAAGTGAAAACTTGTGTATTGGGGTTTTTATGATTATTATGGATTTTTATGTTTTTGCTGAATCACCTTCGAATAACCGGGTGTCTTCATAGCAAATTTGAAGTGTGAAATCAATGTAGAACACCTCAGGCATGATTGTCTGGGTGACCTCATATCTTTAACTGTTCACACGCAACTTCGAGCGAATCAGCAATCAATTTGATTCGAAAGCGCAGTTTCTGAAAGTGATGCACAATTATTTTTTGTTAAAGCAGATTCCGCGGAGAAATTAGAAGTGGCTACGGTTTTTCTAAATTCTTGCGAATTTCGCTTTTCTGAATTCTTATGAATTTCGAGTTATAAGTGAACATTTTTTGAAATTGGTTTTCGGTCATTTAAGCTGATGGGAGCAAAATGAAAGCATTTTGTTAAAGATGAAGCAGATTATCAAATGTAATGATGTATAAGTTATTGAAATTAGTTTGCTTGAAACAAAATTCGCCAAAAATGCTTGTTTTGAATTCTCGCCGTAATGAAATCTGTATTTAGCTATGAGTAAAGTTTTAAAACTTGATTTTCTGATAAAAGAGATAATCGTGTTGGTCATTTCAGCAATAATAATAATATTTCTCGATAAGCTGACATCTTCTTGAACTGAATTTGAGCTTTTCGAAACAAATTTCTCACAGTTGCTATGAAAAATCAATTTGCACAAATCTACTAGGAACAAAAAACTGAAACACATCAAAAAAGAGCTTGAGAACTAATTTATAATGAAAAATGATTCTGAAAGCTGATTTTCAATTCAAGAAATTTTGAATTCTATTCTATATCCAAATTGCAACTAACTGAAGGAGCGTGAACAAAATATTAGAGTTTTCTGATAGTTGCAACGCATTCCTAACTAAATGACAAGGAAGCGGAGCGTTCAGCGCATCGCGTACGGTACCCAGCAGGCGGCTGGCACAGCTATCGTTCATAAAGTCATACACCCCAATCTACGGCAATCATACGACGGTATACTCCGATCATCGCCCCGCCTTTCTTTTAGCGCACAACAAAACCCACGCAATCTAACTTGCTGGGTAGTGGAGCTCCAAAGCTATGATGTGTCCGAAAACCACAAGGGATCATCGAATGTCATGGCGGATGCACATTCCCGTTCGGTTGACAAATATGTACGGTTTCAGGATGACAGCCCGGATGCTACCGACATTAGTATAGAGTTCCCCGTGAGCACCAACCAACTGACTCCGCCCCATTTTCTCGACTCGCCCCATCTTTTACTCGTTGATGCACTAACAGCAATCCGGATATACGATGCCCTAGTAGAGCAAAAAGCCGACCCTTTTTGTGCCCCGATAACGACCTCTTTGGAGAAGGCACGTTTCTGGCTGTCTATACTACGCGGATCCAGCACCAAACTTTGAATTTCAGCGCGTGATACCAGAAAAACATAGGGAACTTGTTTTCTTGGTCCTGCGTGCAAGTACATCTGTCGGAAGTCATTTTAATTGGCACAAGACTTCATCAATAAAGCCCGCAAATACTTCTGGCCCTGTATGGTTGTAGATGTCTATCGGTTAGCGCACTCATGTGAAGCTTGTCAGCGCAAGCGCTCCCAGCAAATGAATAAAGAACATATGATACCGGTGCCCATCAACTGCGTTTTCGACAGTTTACGTCGACTCAAAATCATAGCTGTTTTGGTCCCCGTTTGCACTGTAATCACGATAATACACGCGATCATGACCGTATGCTTCTTCAAATACGGGGCGATGACCAAGTTGGTCTCGAATAACGCATACCTCCGCGGTGTGAGGTCGTATCTAAAATTGGCGGCTTACTACGCGTCTTTCGCTATCTTACTACCTCATATCATTGTGAAGGGAATGACGCGCGTGAGAAGATCTTTCCGACTTTCCGTCCTATGCTCCGCGTTTACATAACTAAGAAAGGAGAGTGAGGTAAGTTTGTCCGTGTGCCTTCATGTACAACACCACCGTACATACTAGCACAAACAACACTCTTTTCTTCCTTATACTCGGTAGGGACCCGGTGTTCAAATATCGATTTATTGGTCAAACACAACCTCCATTCTCACTGGGCCACCGAGGCAGGTGCTGGCATATACATAGAAAACCGGGTGGAGGGACGAATATCCCAATTAGGCACCGCCTCCGCGGACTGCTGGTTTTAACATGATGCACAACAATAGGACGAAAGGAACAGCAGCCCGTGGAGGCGGTGCCTAAATGAGGTGTTCGTTCCTGTTCCCTAGAAACCTTGTGGCCATTTTTCATGCTGCGTGGCAGACAGCCTTTCCGATTATCTGCCGCCATAGCGTTTAAAACCCCGGACGATATCTCTCATCTTAATCCCATCAAAATGCAGGTAGGCGATAGGGGTGTTCCTGCGAGATTTTGCACCCAAAATTGACTTATTGCAAAAATCATGTAATTCTTGTCTTGGGCAATTGTGGTAGATCCACCTTACCTTATGATCAATAGAGTTTCCGCACCGCAATCCTTTCCCAAAAAGTTGTACATGAGTCAGGTTAAGGAATGCTCTGCGTTGTCGAGCTTCATATTCACCTCCTCATGGGTACCAGACAGGGTAAAGCGGGGGGTGCGGCACGCCGCAGGGGGGGGGGGGTCGTAAGGGGGGGGGGGGTAGGTAGGGGGGGGTCGTATCGACCGAAGGTCAATAGCGGTTTCTAAGGGGAAATGACTGCAGCTAAGTTCTTAGATGTGCCACGCTCTTTCTCAACTACCTCTGACAACTCAGGTTCAATAATTGAGAGAAATACTAAATGGAGTCTTGATTTAGGTACGAGTTGTGTTTTCAATAGAATTTCTTGAAAAGGAGATTTTGCAGTGAATGGATGATGGTGTGACGACCGACGTGTGATGTGTGGGAAGTGAAGATTTCGTCAATAGAAATGCACGATACATTTGAACAACTTGTGTCGGGAAAGAGGAACTTACGCATATTGTTGTTGTGGTTTTGTGTAAAATGTACCTTTAAAAAGACATTTATCTGTTGCATACGTTAATATAAGGAAATGAAATCGCCCATCATCCAATTCATAATCAGAATCTGAAGAATCGATATCCAATTCTGGAACTTCCAAATCACTCCAGAGTGGAGGCAGATCAAAATCGCTGTCCTCGTCCTTATTAGCTGGTGCTGGCGTCATAGCGTCAAACCTGAAAGCCTTTCTCGCTCCATTTGTAAGAACAGAAGAAGTGGTGCACGTATTTAGCTACTAGAGAGTGCTAAATTTCGCTAATTTTCTTAGATCTTTGAGTCCAAAAAAACTCATTATTTAAGGTGCGTGAGTCCTAAGCTGTGAGTCCGAAACTGAGTAAAATAATTGACTTGAACAAGAAGATTTGGATTCAAAGATGATGAATCATTAGAGTGATCGTGTTAGTACAATGGATTTGTTCGCGTGTACTGTTCTGTGCTGCCGCTCACACAGCTGGTTGTGCGTGAAAAACATAAACCGATTATAAGGATAAAGGATAACGGATTCGGCGTCCTCAACACCCTCTGCAGGCATGCGCCGAACGCAAACACTAACTTCATAGTCGTCTACTGTATGTGTGCAAGCTTATTACATTGACTTGCGCACTTGTACAAGCTGTGTGACTAAATTGACTTGATGAAAGCGCTGTTGAAATCCTGCAAAATTCAAGTTCAACGACACAAACTTGCAGATACCGTATGCCTACCGTAACCTACCGTACCTCTAATCAAGCATAATTGTCGTAATCCGCGTGTCGAATAACCCCTATACGCCAAGTTTCAGCGAACTCTGAGGTCTCCGAGCAGTAAACAACCTTGTATGAAGCAGTAATTTAAAACATGATTAACTTTATCTTAACGGTGAGTAAGCTACCTCTTCTTGCACTCAATACAAAGCACTACTCCTTCTTTGTCCACCTCAGGAATCCCGCTTCAGAAGACCTCCAAACTATTGAATTAGAAGCCAACCAAAATCGCTTTCAGTTTTTGATCGCTGTGCTTTCACCGGATATTACTCAGAGCTAAGAAGACGAATCAGGCTCAAAACATCCCTATGGAATCTACGAGGTTTAGGCTATTGATTCATATAAATATTGTCCGCTAAAAATGTTTTTTGATATAGTTAATGGCCTGCGGCACCCCCCCCCCCCTGACAACCTGCGGCTGCCGCAGGTTTTGAGGGGGGGGGGTGCCGCAGGCCATTAACTTACCTTCAAAACGCTCAAACAAATCCCTTTTTTACACTATTCTGTAGATCCATCCTTCTCCTCTTCGTAGTAGCCTTTGCCCCCCCCCCCAAGCGCGCCCTCTTAGTAGAGATACGGTGGGTTTTCCGAACCCTACTCACCGAAACACCCAGTCCGACAACCGCCGAAAATATTGGTGTACGGTAGGATTCCAAAAATTGCCGGCACGCCAAGGGCGGGAGGCAGGACATTTCAAACTGTGCATTTCAAAATCACTCTCGTCTCGTCTCGCCTCGTCTCTCGTTCTCGTCTCGTTGATGTTGTTTTTCTGAAATTCCGGCTACTCCAGTGTGCGCAAACTGGCGCTCTCTACTCGTAGAGATATGTATCAGTCTTCGCAGTTTGCAGAGAGCAAGCCATGGAAGAAGAAGAAGAAGCCATGAAGCTTGGCCCGGTACATTACGGGTATGTTTAGTCATGATTTTCTTTCTTCAATCGTTTTTGCTTTTCTTTTTTCACGGAATTGGCATAATTATCACCTAAACTAGTTGATATAATGCAAAAAATCTGAGACATGTGATGTTTTTGTCCTTTTGTAATCACGTCTTTTGCTACTTGGTACAGCTTCTTCAGTTCGAAAAATTTGATATTGCATGCTGAAATCAAAATCTATTCCAGATGCAATTTCCATCGTCCACAAGTCGTGCTCTTAACACAAGACTGGGTCGAAATAGAACAATATCAGGTTTGCCATTTCACTACCATTGCACTTTATTTTCAGGTACACAGAAATAAATTCTATTTAGAGTCTGCAGTAATTCACGGAAAACATGCCGCCACCACTCCTCTTGTTTTTGAACAAGAGCTGAGTATATCAGGCAAGCAACTACCATCACAAGAAGTACCGCAAGCAAAGGTACGTCCATATGCTCGTTATACTCTCTTAATATCGATTCTCTTTGTGCCTGCTTACATTCTTTTTGAAGAGATGTTTTATCGTTACCTTTCTGCTTCTTTGTTCGCTGAATTGCACTTGTTCACGAAAGTGAATTTCTTTTTCACTTTGCCATTCGAAAAGGGTTCATCCGATTGATCATCGAGCTGGACAAAATCAATGTCTCTTGTCCTTTTTCTATGCAACCTTCTTCCATCAAGCTTAGTTTTTTTTGGAACTAGTTTTGCATACCGCTCAGAATCTCTCATGCCCACCGCTCAGAATCTCTCATGCCCTTTCAACAGTGGTTGAAACAAGTTTCTAACTTGATCTATTAGAAATGGATTTTAAATAGCCGCGCTTAAAACCGAGATTTTATTGCATTTAGTTTCTTGGCCATATTCAACCGCAAATAATACTATTTCTCTAGGCTGCGGAATGCGATGAAATTGTCAACGTTTTGCACACTTGATCATGAGTTTTATATCTATTCGAACTGAGAAGTTGATGCCTTAGCATGAATGCTCGCATCTGCTATTGTATGGCCCAGAAACTTCTATCGCCGAAGCTTCACTCATTTCTGTAGACACGATAGGTCATCTTATTAACACTTTTCCTGCAAAAATATTCAGCTGTTCAATACGCAAAGAGCTAGAAAGTTTGTAATCTGGGACGAGCCTATGATAAAAAGGCTTTAAAAGCCAGCAATTCAAGATTTTCGATTTCAAAGTTGTTTGTGAGATTGATGAACTGGCAGCGCAACTGAAGGTTTTTCTACGCAATTTGCCTATTTTCACTGCTTTTAGTATTTATCTAGGATGAAACGGTAAAGCCTACCCTCATTGTGAACGAGACTTCTCTTGCTGATCTTACGGATGAGTTGAAGGTACCAACTGAATCGTGTCTATCCTTTTTTCTCTTCAGTGAAGGTATTTTCTAGTCTGTGAGAGTTTCCAAATCATCGGGAGCTGCCACCGACTGACAAAGAAGGAGCCGCACCAAACGTAGACAAGTCTTCGAATGCGAAAGTACTATTAATGTTAAATACAAGATTATCAGCATCAGTTTCACAAATTTTCTAGCTTCTCTCCTTGGAACAGCGCATTCGCCGAATTGAGTCGTTGGTTGGCACGTATGATCCAGCTCGACAGTCCATTGCAGACGCTGTTGAAGATATACGGTATGTTCGTGTGTATGCTACAATCCGTGTCTTTGAAAATGCACTTTGCAATTCTTTGTCACTTCTTACTCTTTTTAGGTTTGGAAACGTATGCAGATTATTGGAGATGTCTTACGTAGATATAAAATGGACTATCGATGCAATTTTCTTGGTCTCACGGCAATGATAGAGTTTGTCATGCAGGTCAGTTTTTCTTTTTTGATTTTTTGATGTTTTCTTTTCTTTTGTCTCACTGCTTTCTCAAAATCGACTTAACACTAGGAGTATCTGCTGTTAGTAAGCTTCACCTTCTAGGGCATTACCAACTTGACTAGAGACACTGCCAACAACATGCATATCATCATGTATCTCTCTTCTCACAAAACAGTTGAATCTTTTCGGAGATTTGTAAATAATTCAACATTATAACATGGCCTTGATGGAGGGAGAATCTGAACCAAAACATGAACAAGTGATCTGTGTTTCTTCAGTTTGATTTAGTACAACCAAAAAGCTGTCGAAATGCTAGATTCAGATAGAGAGAGAGAGTATTTCCATGGTGTTTGGAGGTATGCAAAGTCTACTCTATATCAGCTTGAACCATGTTCTTTCGCTTTTTTCCCTTACCCTTGTTCTGTGTACGAGTACTCTCACATTTTCTTCTCTTTTCTTGACTTCTTGCACTACGTGCTGTTACTTGTACGCATCTTCAGTTTGCATAAGACAGCAAATCCAGGTGTGCGGGCTGCCTGCTGTCAGTTTTCAAAAGATTATCGAGGTCGTCATACGTAACGAGTCACGCCTTACGAGAGAAATAGTTCGACATTTGAACCATGTAAGTTGTGCGTTGATCTGAGTTGTCCATCTCAACTCGTCATTTAGGTCGAAGAGAGAGTGCTTGAAGAATTGGCTTGGACCAAAGATAGCGCTTTGTGGACGGCGTTAAGTCGAAAACCTGACAGCGTACCAACATGTGATGAAGCATGGGGTAACCCAACAAGAATAGTGAATCCTCTAGGCTCACCACCAAAGAGAATCTTGGTTTTTATTGTCTATTGTCGTTATAGAATTCATGTGAATGCGATTTTACATAGGCGTTTAGGCGTTACGATTCCGAGTCTAACACTTTTTCCCAGCTTTTATAATAAAGGTTTATAGACAAATCGTGTGATGATTTTGACGTTCAGCGTTCTATATCTCTGTGTTGAATTATGTATCTATACAATAAATTTTATTGCAGAAACATGGTTATCGATACTAACAAGTACACTAATATCCATCAAAGTAATGAACTCTGGCTCCCTGCCGACAAGAACGCAATTTTTGCGCTCATCATTCTGATAGTTTTGGTAAGTCCTCATTCGCCATTAAAACAGCCTAAAAACTATCTTTTTTCAGTTGGTTTTCATTTACATACTGCTCAACAAAAAACTAATTCTCTGCGGAACTCCGTGGACGACCACCAACACACGCCCTCGCGTCGAGAACGTTTAGAGCAGAAGATCTCGTCATAAGATCTCGTTCAAGATCTCTTGTTTTGTTGGAATGTTTTCTGTTAAAATACAGTCTGCTTCAATCGGGATCAGGCCGAACCGTCGGCGTAAATTTGCGCGCTCGCAGCGCCAGCGGCCTGCGCTGCATATGCGCGCTGTCGGAAAGAGCGAAAGGATTGAAGAGAGAGCAGAGAAACAGGCCGTGGGCGTGACCTCGAAACCCTCACGACGCGGACTCCCGCCATGCCGATTTTGGCCTGGTTAGGATTGGGGCAGACTGTAAAGTCTTGCTTGCTCAAAAATAGCTTAGAAAATTCAATGAAAATGAAGTACCGTTTTGGAGCAGTGACGGTCGAGAACAGACCGGAATTGCGTATGACGAACAGGGCTCGGCGCGACGTGGCTTAAAGGCATCGTCCACCCAAATTGGGGTTGGTGAGATTATGATACCTAGCACATGCGGGGCCCCAACTATATGACTGCCCAACTCGCGCTGATGGGTATGAGAAGGCCCTGGAACGGCAAAAAGGTGGGGGTCGAAATTCTGGGTGGACGGTGCCTTCAAGAGCGAGAGGGGGGGGGGGGGTAGGAATGGGGGGGGGGTCGTACCGAGGTCCGGTTCAAGGGGGGGGGGGTCGTATCCGACGGTCGTGTGCCGCACCCCCCGCTTTACCCTGGTACCAGAGCAAGAGCAAGCCGAATTGACCGCAATAGAAACATCTGAAGTCAACATTCCGGGCCGTGAGTACACCGTTTTCCCTGAACCGAAAACGCCAATATCCCCTGCCGTTCACGCACGGGTACAACACTCGTTTCAGATTCCGTCGTTCTTTATTATAAATCGTCAAGCAGGAAAACGGTTGGGATTTCTATGTAACCCTTTTACTGTTATTTTTTACTTACCTTTTACTTTACTTTTTACCTTTATAACTCAATCAGAATTTTTTTCCTTTTCTATTTCTTTGCCTTCTCACATTTTCCGTTTGTCAGTGCTGTGTAGTGTCGAACTAGCCTACTTTACTCACATTTAGGTATAATGCTTGTGTTTCACCCCTCCCGGCCTTCACTTTCACCTTCCGACATCAGCTCCATTAATTACGTACGCTTCTTAGCTTACGTCTTCACAGCAATGCTTTGGTGTCCACTTTCACTCATTTCACGGTTACGGTTTTCGGGTCATAGCTTGCTTTTAGCCTCAACGTTATCGCATTCACCTACAGTCGGGATCAGACCAAACCGTCGGCTGAATATGCGCGCTCGCAGCGCTTGGAGTTTGCGCTGCATACGCGCGCTGTCGCAAAGTGCGAAAGATTGAGGAGAAAGCAGACTAGCTAGCCGTAGATGTGACGCAATATCCTCGCGACAAGCACTCACGCCATGCAATTTTGGCCTGGTTGGATTGGGCAGCCTGTACTCGCGTCCGTTGGAAACCGTTATGGTCATTGCGCTATAGTAAGTTTCAGCTCAGTTTAGGCGGGAGTCCCTTTCGCAACGATTCGCACCGCTTTACAGTGTGCACCTCTTCATTCTAATCTTCTCGCGAGTCAGTGGCGGTGCTGACGAGATGCTCCACTTGGAATGTTTCGCCTACCCAGGACTGAAAAAGACTGTAAAGTTGACTGCACGAAATCGACCGGGTCGCTTTATCCTGAACGCACGCGAGCGTGCCTGCAACGCGGTTGCGAGTACGGGCGCTATGATGGCTCATGCGCGCGAATGCCTATGTTAGCCCGTAAGAGACACGCTCTTCCAGTCTGGTCGATTCCGTGCAGTCAACTATATCAACTATACCTGTCTCAGCTTTCTTCATTTCAAAAAAGCTAACGATCACAAATACCTTCCACCATGGCGGAGCATCCAGACCCACCTGCCCTCTCCCCCGATCCCGGTGCCCTGGTGAAGAAGCAACGCCACTCGCTCCTACGCCCATACATGGACGCAATGCGGCCGATTTCACCTACAGCGACGCACCAGTTGCCTCTGGTGTTGGTCACCGCTTTTGGCCGCGATGCGGCCACTTACACAGTTCGCATTGATGTTTCTGATCATCTTTTAACTACTCTTAGCTGCAGTGCGGCCGATCTCACTCATACAGGCTGAGATTCCCTTTCAATCTTCACTCGCTAGCCGCCACGCGAGAAATCAACCACACATCATCCTTATGTCCATGATGATCCTAACCCCGTACTTTGCATATATTAGGTTGATGCAAAAGAAGTGGCCGATTTTCCAAGCCTTTTTTCAGGGCAACTTTTTTCCATCAATACTTCTTTCTTTACAGCGGATGTAGTATGCCGCGATGCTGTATTCATGTTCTATCTAACGATGCTTGAAACGGGCTCTCATCCTCATCTCTTATAAATTTACTGAGCTAGTTATTTGTATTCGTATTCTATAGCCAATAACCAAGATTGTTAATACGCTTTATTCAGTCAGGTCAGGCCAACGTTTCGGTGCCTTCACCGTCGTCAGAGCCTCGGCAATCTTCGAATCAGGTTGAGCAACCACCAAACACAGCGTCTGCACAGTTAGTTAGTTAATTTACTGACTTCAAATAACTGCATCCAAATTCAGAATTTCATTGCATTGACTTCCCCTGCCAGGATTAAAGCGCGTATCGAAGGGATTTCTTCGAAAATTTAGATGCTGTATGTAATAGAATTTCTCTACATTATGCATACTTAACTGTATTCTTTAAAGTTATCCAGACTGAGATATCGGCGCCTAAACATGGGTAGCTGTCGCGGTCATTTTATGACCCATAATTTTCTTCTGAGGAAGTCAGTCGCCGAAGCTTTGCTCAATTCTGTAAGCGTAGAGCTAGGACATTTATTAGCAGTTTTTGCAAGAACATCCGGCTGTTCAGTACGTAAAAAATCAGAAAATTCTATATTTTGGACTTTGAGGCACACTGAAAAAAAAAACTGAGAAATTTTAAGTTTCAATTTTTTCTTTCTCGCAAACTTTTTTGTCCGAACTCTTTTTCTTGTATTTGTACTACTGGCTTGCGGCTACAAGATAGGCCACTTATCATTCATACTAAGAAACTTTGAAGGAAGTTATGAATTGTCAAAGACAAGGTTCCCGCAGAAGGACCTTTTTTGTCTTTTAGTCCATATTTCTCTTCCCTTTTATGGTTTGAGTATAAATAAGTATGCGTGTAGTGCGAAAGGTTTGCTACTTCTGTATGTCTTTACCGCATTCAGAAATGTGGATCTTCTAGAAAGTTATAGCACATCAAAATGAGATTTCGCAAATCGGCTTCCTTTTGCATCAACCTAATATTTCCATTTCCTTGTTTACTAGTAAATCCTTTGTTTACGTCAACGTAGTTACTATGATGGTTACCAGCTGCTTTTGCTGGGCCACGCTTACTTGATGAGAAACTGCAGAAAAAAGTCATTGCAACGATTCCAAAGCCACCACGATCTCTATTTTGAGCAAGTGAATCAACAACATCTAAAATAGCACAACATTGCATGGTGTCATCATTACTGCTGCTTTTATTGTCTAGAAATTGATAGACAACGATTTAAAGCTTTGCATGTAGTGAACAAATAAATCATACCGGTCTTCATAGTTCTCACTAAAATAACAATCTATGTAAGCAGGCGCAAGTAACGATGTATAGAGGAATGGAGGCAAAATATCAAAGTATATGATGTAATAACAGCAAATACACAAATAAGGCCATCCGATAATTTGACCTTCCCTAGATTCGAAAGTTGCTAGAAACGGAGATTCAACAGAACAGGTTACATAATAAAATCACGAAACTAACAAACTAGTGAGATTCTGGTTTAGAGAACAACGATGAGTATCAGAGTTTTTTATGCAGTACTGCATAGTCGCCAACTGCAATAAGACCAGCAAGCATTTCCTCGCCTAAAAAGTTTGGATCAGCTTTTCTTAATTATTCGAAGATTTTATAATAAAAGATGGATGTTTTGTGGCACACCTGTTGGTTTGATAAAATGTGGCGGTAAACTGAAAGCATAAGTATTGTGCGAATCCAGCGGTCGTAGTTCAACTCCGAAGATGTACGGTACTCCACGATCTTGCATATAATCAATACTCGTACCGGAAGCGGGATCTGCAATACTACTAATTTTGACTCACTCAAGAAGATTGGAAAATTTACACTAACACATCAGTTCGGCTATTGTTCCATAGTTATATTCTGCTCCAGTGGCATTACGCATCGCTGCTACGGCTATTTGTGCTGCATTACGCTGAAGAAGGCATTATTGAAAAATATACGGAGAAAATTTTGGCTTTCAGCACCTGGTCTAGGTAGTTATCCGGTCGAGTATGGGTGTAACCCCAAGGCGACAACAGTAATTGTCCATATGAATGGAGACTAGCATAGATGATCAGGTTAGGAATTTGCCATGTGACAAGGTCCCTTAGGCCTGAAATCCTTGAGATAAGAAAGTCCGAAATGCTGTACACATTGTGCTTGACTTTTAATAACTCTCTTGCTTTAATGTATTTTAAGGAACTTTGGAAACCATTCTATAAAGGTGGCTTCAACCTGGATCTGCAGTATGAAGCGAATTAATGATCACTCCTCATTACTGTAGGATTACGGTAGAATCTTCGAGAAGGATTTTAGGCCACTGAGAGCCATATCTTGCTCTAAAGGGGGAAATCACACAAGCCAGAAACTCGCCTACTACGCTAAGTAAGTCGCTGAGACTAGATATGAAGTCCGCACTATTTAAAGGCTTTGTTTATAAGTCACTTCAGATATATCGTAACGACTGTCTTTCCGTTATTCGTCGGAACTGTAATTATACCACTAGAACTGCTCGAAAAGATCCTGAAAGATTGTATATTGAAATCAGCATGCATGGAAACCTTGCTACACATCTTTCCATAATTTTTTTGGAAAAATTTTATCAGACGGCCTATATTACAAAATTTCTGCATGCTGAAAGTTTATACCCAATCCTACAGTAACGAAGAGCAGAAAGCCGGTTTTATAGGTCGGTACCAAAAGATCGGCGAAAGATATTGGAGCAAAAGTGTTAACTATTAAACAGTGCAAGTATTTTATTTTTTGGGACACCCTCTAATATACTTGGGTCCGAATCGAATAGAAATATCATTCGAATAAAACATTCGAATATATTCGTATTCGAAATTCGACATTCGGTGTTATTCCATTTTCGAATAATATTCGAAACTCGAATAATTGAGAAAACGGGGTTTCGAATAAAACTCGAAACTCGAATAATCAAAAAACAGGGTTTCGAATAAAATTCGAAAACTCGAATAATCAAAAAACGAGGATTCGAATATTATTCGAAAACTCAAATAATCAAAAAACGGGGTTTCGAATAGATTTTATTCTATTATTCGAAAACTCAAATAATCAAAAAACGGGGTTTCGAATAGATTTTATTCGAATGTTTTATTCGAATGTTTATTCGAATTCGTATTCGAATGAACTCCGCATTCAGATTATTCGACTTTGTTGCAGAGCCAACTGCTGAGTATCAAGCTCACTTCGTCCGCGTTTTTTTTTTCGCAAAACTTTGTAATGCATCTTTTGCAACCGTTATGAACTTCGAACTGTATGGAGATCGCATTCTTCCGACTGCTTGCGACAGTAAAAAAATCATATCTGGATTTTAATTGGTGCTTTTTCGATCAATAAGATTGTTCGCACTGCTATTGGCACCAAATCAGTAAAGAAGCTATCAAATTCAAGCTCATGTTACGAGTCCATTTATTAGTGTCTGAAATGCCTGTTTTTCTTTCTTTGCATTGCTCATGGTTGTGGTACGCAGACCCACACCAGTGAGCACTCTTGCTCGCATAAGTTATATTGCACAACTGCCTCTATTCGCTACCTTAGAGATTTTTTGCGAACTGGTTCATTTTGAATAAAGGACGTCGCAGCTGTAGTGGAGGATTAGATGGTTGCTGAATTTTGCAATTATATCACCTCGCAATAAACTTCTGTTCAGTAGATAGTACATGATAGTTCTGTTATCACAGTACATCAAAGATTTTCACGGAGGCTTGCAAGCACTTTAACACCAAGAGCTATCAACCTGTCAACTATGGTAAAGGCTAAAGCCGACGAATAAGGTCCACATTGAGAAATACGAGCTTTGATTATGAGATACTTCACGCGATAGCCATACGCGATGTGCCATTTACGAGATGTCTTCAAATGTAACGCCAGCTTACCACAGTGTGTAGCGTGTACAACTTTCTGAACAGATAAGTGCCCTGCATTCTCTACTTTTGGATCCGAACGATAAGCTATGAACAATTTGACTATTGTCAAAGCGCGTCGCTACTGAAATGCCTGCAGTATGCCCGGGGCTACAGGGGGATTCGCTTCGCGGAATAAACACATGCCTTCGTCTACGACTAGCCTATACCACACAAGACGTAAGTCTCCGATGAATATGGACTGGGAATTGCTACAGGGGGGGGGGGGTAAATGAGGGCGCTAATTATGGATAAAAATTTACTTTATCGATTTTCGGAGAACTTTGAGCTATGAGGCTGGGAGTTTGTAGAGGAGGGTAAGTGAAGGTGCTGATTATGAATAAATTTCTATTTTATCAATTTTATCATTTTGGAGAACTTTGAGCCATGGGCTGGGAGTTGGCACATGGGGTAAGTGAGGGGCTGATTACAAATAAAAATTTACTTTATCGATCTTGTCGATTTGGAAGATCTTGAGCTACGAGGTTGGGGGTTGGTACAGGGGGTAAATGAGGATGCTGATTAAAAATGAAATCTATTTTATCGATTTCAGCGATTTTTGGAAAATTTTGAGCTAGGAGTTGGTATACGAGGGGATACGAGGGTGCTGATTATGAATGGATCGGCTTTAGCCAGATATATCGGCAAGTTTGAGATATGGTAGCTCTAACTATTCTATAAATCATTCGAATATTTATTCGAAATTCGACTACCAATATTCGAATATATATATTCATATCGATATTCATTCATTCGATATTTTTGATTTTCCGAATTTATTCGGAATTCATTCATTCGAGAATTTTTGAACCTCGAATTTATTCGATATTCATTTATTCGAGATTTTTCATTTACGAATTTATTCGATATTTGTTTATTCGAAATTTTTCCTTTTCAAATTTATTCGATATTTATTCATTCGATAAAAAATTTTCGAATTACCCAAGTATACCCTCTAATAATGTTTTCATTATGCGAAGTTTCTGATAGCATTCATATAACGCCATGGTGAAAAATTCTGATTAAAATCTTGGAAAAATTCGGAGGAATTGTATACTAAGGTTTTCACACATGCTCATTTCAATACGCAACTTTTTGCGATCTTCAGGTGTAATCACAAATTTGTGGGGATTTAAAATATAAACATTTTCACGGGTTACCTCGCATAACTCGTGGACAAACGTTGTAGTAAAGAGTAGATTTGATAATTAGATTCAGCGGCTCGAGTGGCCTAGTGTGTCCGGGACGAATTGTGGCCCTTAACAGTCAAGAAACCTCTTAAATGTTTCTACAGTAATCCTAAAGTAATGAGGAGTGATCGATGATTCGCTCCATATTGTAAATCTTGAGCCACTTCTTCAAAAGGGTACTTGAAGGTAGGCAAAAGACTATTTGGGGAGAGATATATCAACGAGCAAAAAGTGTATGCGTACATCTGGGACACCCTGCAGCAGCTCGTATATCGAACAGAAACATTTTACCTTGTAATAGTATATCACTACTTCTTACAATACTTACAATCAAAGATTATCCTACTTACCGACAATCTCAGGCTCAGAAAATGGACGGCTTCCAGCATAAATGTTAGAGCATGGTGAACGATTGGCACCTGCTTCACCCCATCGATGTCCCCAATTACGGTTAGCGTCAGCTCCAACACACCATTTGTTGACAGTTACATTACGTGATCGCGTTTTACGCCATAGTCGGTCCTGGAAGACTTTATTTTTCATATTACATAATTTAGATCTAAAATTAAGAAACATATTGAAGGCAGTTTTGACCTACCGAAATGCGACTGTACTCATAGCCGTCCGGATTTGCTTGTGGAATGATATACCAATCGAATTTATCCACGCTCCTTGTGATTTCCGGATCTTTGCCATAAGCCGAGACAAGCTGACATATATTTTTGTTGCATTTTTTTGATAACATCAGTCTTAATAAACCTTTTTGATCATATATAAAGCGGCAGCTGGAGCAACCCATTCACGAGCATGTATTCCAGCATCGACCATGATTGCAGGCTTATACTTATTAGAAGATGAGATCTAAAAATTAAGATAGTTTCTTGGACACATTTCGTGTTTGTTGACCCAATTTACCTTTACACCGTATAAAGGACGTCCCTCAAATGTTTTTGACACATTTACCAATGTAACGAGATCTGGTCGCTGTTCGGCTAGCAGCTGCATGAACGTTACCATCTAAAAAAACAATTTAAAAGTTAGTGACCCAAAAGATTTAAAAGTTGCTAAACCTCATCGTAAGTGTGATAGTTCTCTGCATCAAATTGCATAGCATTAGAACTTCTTTTCGCTCGCTTTCGATATCGTTCTAAATGTCGACGTTCGCGTCGGATTTCTCTAAAAAAACTAGTTTATATTAACCACCACTAGTAAATGGATAATGTTAAGGCGACCTTCTCCCCAGGAAACGGGTCGCGAAATTTGTGTGAAAGTTGCCTACATGAGTTACAAGCAGCACATTATGTGAATTTGATATCAAAAATTGAAACTATTTTTGAAAAATTTCGAAAAATAATTGTTAAACGTGTAGAAATTTTAGATAGATATAGACTAGCCAAATTTTTGAAAAGCATCCCAAAACGTTTTCGGAGGCCATAGCTAACGTTCGAAAAATAGCTCTGCCCCCTCCCTTCCCTCAAAACAATTTTTCGGAACGTCACTGTTTGGTGGTGGTGCTTGAGACAGTAAGCAAAGAAACACGAGAAGATGAGGATGGAAAGGAGTTGGGGAAATAGAAACTCGAGGGAGTTGTACACAAAAAATTGCAAATGCTCAAGACTATGCTTATTTATTTATGTAGAAGTATGGGCATCGGATAGGCAGATTCAATTCTGGGGTATTCATCGTTCATGATTCCCCTGGATGAGCTGACCGCCTAAACACCAATTTCCACGTCCAGAAATGCGAGTTATTAATATCTTAAGCTATAAAGCACAATTTGGATTGGCTCTCCAGTGAAAGCGACGATAAATACTTGAAAGTCGTCGATCTCAAAGCGACTGCCTTTGAGTAGTTGACACGATTCAGAAGAAATGATATTGGAGAAAGAGTGGTTGCAATAAATATCAAGATTACTGCTCCAGAGACTCCATGGTACAAAAGATTCTCAATCTCGTTATACAGCAACTTCCGCAGTATTAGATTCTAGATGTACTAAAAATGGAGAGCTTCAAAATGTCAGGCAGTCTGAATCCTTGAGAACAATAGCTTCTGCAATTCGACGAAAGTCATCTACAATCTCAAAAGGTTTTGTTGATGGACAGAGATGGTCTTCCTATACTTTATGTTCTAGCCGGAATCAAGCAAAACGGGTGTAAATGAGGGCGAAGTTTCAGACTAACAAAAGCGAACCTGCCAATGTCGTTTTTGATTGTCTCCACATAGGTTACTCCTTTATTGCTCAGCATGTCTAAAAAAGAGCCAAGAAACTCGGGTGCTACGAGCACTTCGGCGATAGGGCTCTGTCGAGACGGCTCAGCCCACACATCTATTAGTACTCTTGTTTTTTCGGTAATCTGAAATTGATTCTATCTTTGTGACCTCCAAATTCTTAGTATCAATTTTTTGTGTTATTAGTGCGGGTAGCCCATTTGTTAGCAGCTATAAATTAGAGCATTACAGAACTAGATGCTAAAATTTGGTGCATAAACAAAAAACAAAAACAAAGAATACCGTAACTGATTTGCTACAACTTGGCAATTTTTGATACGATGACAGACCCCCCCCCCTTCCCCTACTATACTTGAACTTTGACAGATTGACCGCGAAACTACATGGAGAGGAAAAATGTTCTATCTTCCCACGGTGCAATCGACAAACAATTTTAGCTGCTTTCGTTTGATTGGAAAGCGAGCCGGCTTACCTCATTGACCTCATAACCTGAATCTTCCATCTCAGTCAGCCATTTTGCCAATGTTTCATCAGCCGCAAATCGTATCAATGTATACCTATAAAGTAAAACCGCTTTCATCATGTTAGGAAATAAAAGTTGATTTTAAAATTCAAATTTTGTACATGCTCATCCATAAGCTAAAGTCTGCGATTTTTTGATCGGTCATTTATAGCAATTATAAGTTATTATGGATTATAGATAAGTATCAATGATAAATGAGATTTACACTGATCTCTTCAATTCAACTGTTGTTAGTTCATGATATACACAGGTTTGAGGAAATTATCTCGCAAAAGTGTGTCACTCTGTTAGGTCTACGGTATTTCACTGAATTATAATATTTCATGGAGTCAACTTTAGAGGGAATATTATTTGGAACTAAATGACAGCGATTTTGCTAAGCCATGTTTGTGCTCAAAAGTAAACATTTTTCCTACAAAAGTATAAAAGCAGTTTCAATGCACTAATTTTTGCAAAAATTTGATGGCTGAAATGTTCCGGAGAGTAAAGAGAGAAAATTAGAATAAGCAGAATGTAGCACATTGCGAGCTGTCTATAGTCTAGTAAAGCTGAAGGTTATCTGATGAACCTGCGGGAACGACAACATTTGCGCGGAGACAAGTGCCAGCTTGTGTTCGTCAATGATATGCTTGCGACTTGAGCATAAAAAATGGCCATAGAGCACACATTGTTATCATTTCGCGCTGATGAGTCGCTAACGCATGAACACAATCTTATACTTAGATTATTTTGTACTAGAGTTTATGCATCCAGTAATTTAACTGCATCTTACTGTTAGCCCAATAAACTGTAAGAATCTAGCGAATGACCTTGGAAATCCATTTCTATCGCTTAAAAACCATACAAGGTTAATAGAGTCATGCACTGCGACCTTCAACGATATGCACCGTAATTACCTGAAATATTGTAACAATAAAAATAGCCATACCCGTTGTAATTTTCCATTGATTGATATGACCAAGGCAACAGTGTGTAGAAGAGTAACCAGACTAACATTTCCTGGAATATAGCGTGAATATTTCAAATTCAAAAATGTTGCAGTTGGCGAATATGTTAGAAGCAAATCATTGCTGGACAGAACATTTCACCATGAACATGTGTGAAAATAGAAAAAGGGAGATAGAGACTAAAAAGATTACAGAAAACAAATGTGCTAGATATGTAGTGTAGCAAACAGCTCCCCAAAAAAAAGTTATACTGCAAACAACTATATTTCTTGTCATTTTAATCTTATCATTACAAGTTCTTATTTATTGCAGGATAGAACTATTTCCATCGGAAGATTTTCAGAAAATAAAAAATTATTGTTTCAGATTAGTACGGTTAGCTGATGATCATGCGAACTCTTGGAATAGTTTGATAAGAAAGAATTACTGAACCATCTGCTAAAAGCATTTAACCTTTAGAAGCTGCGAAAGCAGTCAAATATGTTTCGCTCACATCAAGATCTAATATCAATCAGAAAGTTAAAAAAATGCTTTCAAATTCTTATGAGCATTTAATTAAGAACTAGTTGTGGTTGATCCATAAAAGACTTTATATCTGAAACATCAATTGCTGCTTTTTCTACCTCTATGAAAGTTGTCCAATAAACAAACTAATCATGTTTATGGTTCAACTAATCATGACATTGTAACTTTGACTGGGTGCAAAAAGTCTGTTTTTGATTAACACTAATGATTGATGCTAAGGGACAGAAAAGATTACGATTAAAAGTGAAAACATTGAAAAGCATTGGTTGTCAAGCTACATACAATTGTAGCAAAACCTACTCTTTTTACAAAGATATACCGCAACACCTGAGCATTATAATTTCTCTATGTGTAACTAAACTCATTTTCTCTTAGTACATCTTGATACCTCATGCAACTAATTCACTCTCAAAATATGATGGAGAAACTCATCTATATAACGTGGCTTGACAATATTACATTTTACATTATTCTTTCTTATTGAACTCGTCTCAATTATAAGGCTCTGCGCGATCGCGAAGGTCGGTAAGTTTGCGGCCATTGCATGCATATTGAGCTTTCTCAGTCACCTTTCTCCTTACAAACGCTTTTCTGCTATTAAATGTTAGCATCCAATTATCTGAAACAATTTTCAAAGATAAGGGATTGTTCAACTGGTTTGAGGCCCTGTGGCATCCTGCGTGTGCAATGACCGCAAACTCACCGACTATCGTGATCACGTAGAACCCTATATATGAAGCACCCCTGGTACTGTTCCCTTTTATTCTGCTTGGTTTGTTTTCACGGAAGTAAAGTATATAGAATTGGCGCAAAGATTCGGCGTTAACCTTAGCCCTGCATTGAAAAGTCGGTAAATATTAGCTTGGCTTTAAAATAATTCTGTATTGGCATGAGATGCTCCACAAAATATCTCGTTTTTTTACCTATGATTTTTGGCACGGAGACAGTTCACAGCTTGTTCTATGATCCATCAACTACTCAAATTTTTCTATCGTCAGCAAAGGACACTTATGCCCCAATATAGCTAAATTTCAAAAAACTCAGTTGCTCAGTTTCTAAGTTCCATATTCAAGCTGCGATGGATGTAGTGATGAGTAGTTATTTGGATGTACAAAATTTTTCTCTGTTCAGCGGGTGATTGTGACTGCCAAAGTGAAATTCTCTGGTAAAGACGGAGCCTCACATTTGCGCGAAATGAGAAAATTAGTATATTCACTGATTCGCGCCTTTATTTCATTAGCTTAGAGTATACCAAACAAAATTTTCATTTCAATTCTAACGAAAAGACCAAACACTGGGCAAAAATTTTTCAGCAGCATTTGCGGGCAAAACTATTCAATGGCCAACCTGACATTGTCAAGAGAAGGCGAATAGCAAAGTAGACAAGAGATGGAAAGTGAGGCTGAAGATTGAGAATCGAGTAAAAATTACTTGAAGAAGAATGGTGCTTCAGTATTTTGGTCACTGTTGGAATTGCAAGACCTCCTAAACAACTGCGAGCCACCCACATGAACAGCTTAGAGGGTGCTTAGCTGGAAGATTGATATTACTAAATTCAAGCTGATCCAGTAAATCATATCCAGAGGACTCAGTCTTTTCCTACTGAATAATTCTTATTCGGATCTTTATTACGTATAAGATAAAGGATACGCAATAAGCTGAACTGAAAATAAATCAGAGAAAGATTTTGAAACGCGAAAGCAACGCCTTTGCTTGCGATACGCTTGAGATACAAACTCGTACTACCATCAAAATCTTCTAAAAACTTTTCAATGATTTTTGAAAGCAAAGCAATTGAGGTAGGATCTTTAAGATCCGATGTGAGGATGTACGTAAATCCCATATTTCTTTGGGGTACTAAGGTTAAGCATTTAGTGGAACCTTGATAACAAGAACCCTCCACAGATAAGTGTAATTCAAAGAATATCCAACATGGTCAAAACAGTCACTGATGGATAAAACTAACTGTTGCATCAACGCTACATTTATATAGCGGAGCGAAGATGGGATTAGTAAGTTTTCAATGTTTTTAAGTGTAGACATCTCATTCACAGCGTAAGCTCTCATTATTCTTACCGTAATAAGACGTGAATTCTGTTCGAGAACTGTGATATGTGACACTTGAAGACGGAAGATAATTGTTTGATTTTTCAGTAATGTTGCTGTACTGAAAGTTTGGTGCAGATCTTCAATTTCAACACTATTCTTCAGACAAAAAAGGTGTACACTGTCATCTCGCAAAACATCGATGTCTCTATGCAACTGAGAGATACGATTTGTCGTTGTGTGGGAACACGTAACCATCCGCAAATATGGGATTCAGCCTAAAGTTTTTCCGCACTTTAAAAACTATACAATTACAATTTCTTGATACAATGTGATGGCATTTGCGCCCATTCCCGCACGATGGCGATCATATAATCAGTACACACTCGATAGCAACGCGAAAAGGTCCACATCTTTGAAGCGGTGCGACCAGGTGAGAGCTATAGTTTTCATGAAATTCGACAGAAGGACCTCCCAAGCAAGCCATTACTTATGTGTGAAGGCGAGATACAATACCGCTCTCAGAACGTGCAAAATTTCCGTGAATGTCGCGGAAACCCCGGAATTCCGCGAAGGACCGCGAAATTTTCGGAATTTCGCGACATTTCCGGAATTTCGCGACATTCACGGAAATTTTGCACGTTCTGAGAGCGGTATTGTATGGAGCCAGAAGCAGAAAGACCGTTCAGATTACAGTTCCACCTCTTTGGCTCGTTCAGCCCTACCATCGTTGATCTACAGTTGCGGAAAGCGCGCAAAATGGGGAGAGAAGACCTAGCGGAATACTCAGAACATTGCGTCAAGACGGCATCAGTTACTGTACGTTAGAACTATCAAAAAGAGAAAATTTCAACTTTGATAGTTCTATGCTCCACGAAACTTATGGAGGGTGTCCTAAGAAAATGTCCCTACTGTTTGTTTGTTATTTCACTTGCGCTGTTGTTTTTCACCCTTCCTTAGTAACCATTCTGAACAGCTGGTTCCAATTTATAATTGTGATAAATGACTGGTAGCTCCTTACTACTGTAGGATTACGCTAAGAACTTTGAAGAGGTTTTACGCCAATGAGTAACGAACATTGTAAAAAAAAAAACTAGAAAGCCGAGATTCCTGTAAGTAAATGAGAGTCACTTTCAAATGGGCATTTTCGTTTACTATCCAGAAGTTGACGGTATACCTAAAAAAAATTCTTTCGAAATCCTTCAAAAACCTGATCACACCTTTCATATTACTTTACACACATGTACGAACTCATTTGCTGGAATCGGCGCTTCTGACCTCAAAACAAAAGTTTGGTCATCTTAAGAATCTTGTGGTATTACAGCTATGGACAGAAGTGCCATGGTGCTTGAGTTTCTACCGTAATCCTACAGTGTCGAATGGGATCGTGCCTTACTCTATAATGTAAGTTTATGCTGAAGCAGCTCTTCAGAACGTATAACATCTCAAAAGTGGCGAAAGACATCAGGACAAGAAGGGTATTTTAGATCACATAGCAGGAACGTTTTCTTGGACCACCCTTTATTTGAATTTACATCCGAGTTCAGTGCAACATGAAGGTGGAAAATGCCAAATGCTAAATTTGCATTTCTGTCCAAAGACTGATCAGAAGTCTCTTTTGCGGCAGTCTCTATGGTGTGGAGGATAAAATTGATTTATAATACTATTTTCTAATTGTTGGTACACACTCATGAACATCCATTAGTCATCGGCACATCAACCAAACGACAAAAACTCAGGAATGATGCGACCCCATCGAGCCAACAACTGATAACGGAAAAACCACGATCGCGCAGTGTTCTTCTTGAAGTGCAGTTGTTTCTGCTAAGCGGAACCTCATAAATCTTGACACCGTTGCGACTGCGTGAACACGCTGAAAGATGTGTAGACAATGGGAAGTGTTGGATATTAAATTTAATTTTATTCTGTGTTGCTTTTATGAGCGGGTCTTTTATAAGTTTTTCGCTTTTTCATATGGGCGCCACATTTGATGGAACAAAGATTTCTTTACAGACTTTGGCAGCATTCGATGCAACATTTCATCCCCTATCTAACAGTAATGAAAATGTTGCAGTGCAGTCAATGAGCTTTCGGAAAATAAGCAAAATCTACGACCCATGCTTTTTGAGATAGTCAATTTTTTAAAACTTTTATGTCAATTTTAAGAACGAGTTCAAGTAAGGATTCGCTAGAGCAAACCTTATAGTATACAGTGCAACTTTTTTCTCTTTTCCATAACTTGCCGTAATTTTTTAAAAGATAGTTTAACAAAACCATCGGATTTTGGCAGGCCTACATCAGCCACAATCGCATCAAACATCATAATTATTCGGAATCCGAGACTACCAAGATGGTGCTATGTGTCAGCACTTTTACAAAGCAAATGAGAGTTTACGGATTCGAAATATCAAATTTCGAGTTTTCCGGGCACAGCCTGGGGATCGTTAGAAAAAATGAGTTGTGATGTTTTTATATCCGAAAATT